ATTATCTTTGTCAAGATCTTCTCCAGATGCCCCTAAACCAAACCCGCTCCTTTGAAGTATACACAAGGTAATACGTGTGAAGTCAAAGAGACAAGGCATTAAATGGAACTAATATCTTCCAACGATAATCTAGAGAAAGAACGGCACCATCCAATTCCATTTTCAACACAAGCTTAGAGACACGTGGTTTAATAAATAGTAATTATAGCTGCGGGGTGTGAGTTGTGTGGAGGATGTTAAACCGACTTTGCGTGTACAACACGATCGAAACACTTATCTGTATGCACATCAACTTGACGCTATTATTTCGTCTTCGGAAGAACAACATTTAAATTAGATAAACCATCGCATCTGCATGGGTGGCACAATCCTTTTTAATGTTCAGCTCTAAAGAAATGCGAGCCTAGTTTCCGTCGCTGACAACGTATGGAATTAGAAAGCGGATCCACATGCCAATTGGAGGATGCACGTGACAATTAAATTATCTTTCAAATGTGGTTTCTAAGGTCTGTTTTGAAACAATATAAGCATCCAATTTTAAGAAGAGACAGGTTGTTTAAGAGTACTTAAAGGTGTATCCTGATATCCTAGGAATGTTCAAGGCTAATACCTATGTCATTGTGCAACCATGGAAATGTCTTGCATTGTGGCTCTATCATACGTTCGGGTACCGCTGGTGTTTAATCTCCATCGAATAAATATAACTATAACAGCTGGTCGTACGATTCTCTTTAGATCAGGCGGTCAGGTTCGGGGCCTCGTGATCATCGTACGTGGATCGCTGCTCGTAATATCAATCACCGGATGGTCTGGCCCAGACGCGATTATATACAGACTACTGCACTAAAGCAGCAATAGAGCTAAATGCAGCATTATAAACGACAAGCACACACAGTCCTAATGTCAAGCAATGATGACGGCTACCTTTAAGAATTAGTCAGGCTTCGGTGATTGGTCACTGACCCCAAATTCCAACCAACTCCATTCCCCTCCATTTCCCCATCCCCATCCTATATTAAGTCCAATAGTTACTCGTTTTCAATTAGGGTGATGGCGTATGTTAAGTTTGTGTACAGGGAATATTGATGAGGATCGACATCGATTTAGCCTGTAGACAGATGAATACAATATCACGTGTGTTATCCGAAATGTATTGGTTTGTAATGGTTTATGGAATGTATTCAATAGTCTTCTGGGGTCGTCCATCCTATCTGGTAAATGTATATTCATACGTGCATGAATGAAACATGACCTTTTTTAAGTCTGTTTTTAGAATATCATTTTCACCATGTAATAAATATCCGCTTTATGGCCGATATATTAATGAGGCAAGGATCTGTTGTATTTTCCATCAAAGTTATCGAGTCAATATACATGAACATCAAAGTCAATGTTCTCTCAAATAATTATTTGAATATGATAATTGCCTAAATCTTCGTAATTAATATCTGTGGTGCACATTAAAGTTATAAATATGTAAAGTGTGTGAACCCATCAAGTTGCAAGGTAAAGTGTCTCCCAATCTAATTTGCTTCTAAATTATACCCAAATAAATGATTTGATAAATCCGATAATATTTTTTATACCACCGACCTAAATGGGCGGGGCTATAGAGTTATACCAAGGAATTCCGTCCTTCCGTCCGTTCGTCAGTCCTGCCGGGGACATGTTTTGTGTGCGACCTATAACTTGAAAACTACTGCATAGATTCTTTTCAAACTTGATGAACACTTTCTGTACCAACAGAAGAGGTACGGTGCAGCTATTTTCTTCAATTTAGACTTATTTTTTACTTACAAATATGATTCTATCTTCAACATTTGTGCGACCTGTAACTTGAACAATTCATGGATTCTATTACAATTGGGGGTACAGTTTCTCTAGGAGAGGTGCAGTACAATGTTTGATTTCTATAAGTGGATTTTCTCAGATTTTTTTTTTCATGTTTTAAACATAGAAATGTGTATGGAGTCGAAGTCGGGGGTATGAGTGAGCCCGGTGTAGTAAGCTCAAACGACTCCCCCTAAATCTGACTCAAGAGTCATACGGGCCATGCTCAAATGACTCTAGATACACCTTCGAAGCTCTCTCTTCACCTCTTGAACTAAAGCTGACATGTCCGCAATGGGTGACTGTTGGAGTGTGAGTGAGTATGGTTTTACGCCGCTTTTTAGCAATATTCCAGCAATATCACGGCGGGGGACACCAGAAATTGGCTTCACACATTGTACTCATGTCGGGATTCGAACCCGACCGCCCCGATGATGACTGTTGGATCTAGCCCTTTCAGTTGGAGCGCGGTAGCCAAATGTTTCCATTTTCATCAACACAGAATACCTGGTCACTTTGATTCCTACATTAATATGCGGCCTCGTTGTGTAGTGGGTTCTATGCATCCTTCGTCGTTAGGCTCAGCACTTTTCAGCCACTCCTCGTTATTTATATCAAACCACTTTGGGCTATTAAAAATAGATAAACCAATAACACGCACACGAACTGGGTTCATTTTTTTAGGTTTATTACTTTACAATTACACATTAATTATGTATTCTATTTCATTGTCATTAGATATTCTATATGTGTTCTGTGTATAAATTGAACAGTACGATCACAACATATTTGTCAGCAATCAAATCAACAAATCTGTTTGTACTCGTCCTGCTTTTAATCACTCAGTTCTCTAAAGAGTATTGATTTATAGACAGATCTCCATTGTCAAGTTTTCACTCAGTAACTTGTCGCAACTGTCATATTTTGATTATTTATGTTTGACTTTTACACAAAAGTAAGTTATTGCCGCGTCAATGAAGCCCCAGGCCACTAACCACCGTCGTTTACTTAGATGTCGTCCCCGTGATGATAGACCTTTGCCCCTCTTTCAGTACATGTTGTTGTTTCATCCTGTTGAATTTACATCAGCCCAGAAAGGAATCCCGTGTGGTAGGATTTGCATACTGCCATCATAATCAGTCAATGGTAAGTGGTAGCTTTCCGATAACTATCACTACTATAGTAGCTGAATGATATCAATGGGGCGGTCGGGTAGCCTAGTGGTTAAAGCGTTCGCTCGTCACGCCGAGGACCCGGGTTCGAATCCCGACATGGGTACAATGTGTGAAGCCCATTAATGGTGTCCCCCGCCGTGATATTGCTGGAATATTGCTAAATGCGGTGTAAAACCATAGTCACACATTAACATTATATCCGTATTTCTTAAAGCTTTAGTTTTATAAGCAGTGTATACATGTAATTGGCTTAACATGATATTAAATGTAGTGTTGTAGAAAAACGTTACGCTTAAGAATGTAAACGCAGTTTTAATTCAAATACAGTAAACTACGGTTATAACGAACTCAAAGGGACCACTAATTTTAGTTCGTAATAACCGTAGTTTGTTGTAAGCATATAGACAGCATATATACATCAAATGGCTGGGACTAAAAATAAGTTCGTTATATCGGTCAGTTCGTTATAAGCGTGTTCGTTATAAACGTTGTTTACTGTATATATACAGGCTTTAAATGTTATTTAATAGTGTGTATCAATTAAGAATGTCTGCACTTTCTTCCATAACATTTTACAATTGAGGTGATAACAAGATTTCAAGAATGTCTTTATACATGAATCGTTGCCGTCAGTTAGAACTAGGATTATGTTCACCCTTGAATCTGACTTGTTACATTTGCTATTTTTCACACCACAAAAAAACAATACTGGCATCAACATTGTTAGCTCTCGACGTGATATTATCGTTAATAATTATTTATGCCAGTGAGTGTGTAATTCCGTCAATTTCCAGTGCAAAGGTTCAAACTGGCTGAACTTTAATCCCATTTGAAACCTTTAAAATGTCAAACATGCATGCAGATGTTTTCACATCCTGTTTACTTCAGACATAAAGAGCAATACAATACTGTGACAGTTAAATTAAGGAGCTTTCTGCAAACATCTATATGTTGTGCGTTTAGCCTACAATGGACTTATTTATTCGCCAAGCAATGGAAAACGTTGCTGTCTTGTTTTTGTTTGAATTTGATTGGATGTTGCGGACATGACGTCTTCGATTTAGCTTAGCAAGTGCCGTGGATCAGATCTGGAAGATCCATGGAATATGATATTTAGCCATTGTTTAAAAATCATGCATAACCTCTATGGCATTATATTTACCTTTCAAAACCAGATTCCCCACTTGGGTACAATAAGTGAAGCCCATTTCTGGTGTCCTCTGTCCTGACATTGCTGACATATTGCTAAAAGCGTCGTAAAAATATACTCACTCACTCACTTTAACAAGCAGACTCAATAGACGTATGTCTAGTAAAGCCAGCTCAAAAACAACCAGTATAACAGATCACATCTCCTTCAAAGATTACTGTAGTTCATCGAAAAAGGAGTAATAGTCAGTAGTTCTTCATTTCGGCACAACAAAGTATGAATATTTGTCAGTATCAACATTGCCTATCACTTCCTATCAGTTATACTCAAAGTCGTGGCAAAGCGTCTATCATATACCATTTGTGACACGGGACTGTAAGTCAAGTGAGTGAGTGTGTTTGGTTTACCGTTGTTTTGAATAGTAAAGACAAGATATTTTACGGATGAAATCTTCTTTATTCTATCATGTCATCCATAAATTATGTTTTTTTACCATTTCTTTCCAACTTTTAAAATGCCAATCAAACAGTCGATTTGAATGGTCGGGCAGCTTGATACTGGAGAAAAGCTCGAAGTGGTGCAGTTCACCAGCACCTTGGCCGTTATATGTAGGTTATTATGACCATGTCGCTTTTGTCCATCAAAATTTAATGCCTCTCTATTTTATTAGTCTTTGGCATGTTAGAATATTGAGGCCATGACAACGGGAACTTTGGATTGTGAAGTTGATGGGGAGCATTATTTAATCATGAACATTATATCCCCCGAGTATGATCACGATGTTCCAGCTTTTATTATGTAAAATATGTCATTGATTTCTTTAAATGTTATCTTCGTTCTTGCAGGGCAGCGTCTTGTGAAGAAAGAATCTAAATGTGGCTGAAGAAAATTTGCAACTGTAAGAACAGCTCATGAACTAGAAAACTACTCGGTGAATATTGTTCAGTTACGTGCTTTTGTTTGTGCATTTTCGTGAAATCAGATACACACAGGAGCATTAAACTTAGACCAGTGTTACAGGAATGTCGTGGAAGATATTATTCGGATCCAAATACATCAACGTGCATCATAGATGGTGAGGGTTGAGCATCAGCGTAATCATAACAAAAACACACATTTCGTTGGATGATGTCAGTGAACCCGTTGGATGCTGCCAGTGAAAAAAAAGAAAACAGACTGAAATTGTTACATTTCCAGCGTTTCTAGTTGCTGTCCAATGTATTCCTCATAATCGCGTACCTCTTGGGATACACGTTTAATTCAGATGGTCATTCTCATGACAGTCTAAACATGTGTGATTCTCCCGGACGGCCGATAATGGAGGACATCTCCAAAGCCTCCCCGTCCATCAGGACTGTTGATGACAACGCATACATCGCATACATGACACCCCCAGTGGCTCTCGAGATACGGAAATCAGAAAGACTGAAGAAAACCTTGATAAACATCGCGAAAAAGTTCCTCGTCTTTATGATCTCCCAGGTCGGTCTAACGTGCTTGGTTATAGGGTATTCCATCATGGGAGGGTTCATCTTCATGAAGTTAGAAGCTGAACAAGAAATCAAGAATAGGTTTGGAGTGGGAATTACGAGAAAGTTATATGTTAAAAGGTTATGGGATGTCACCGAGAACTTAAACGTACTCTTTGAGGCTAACTGGTCAGCAAGTGCAGATGAAATTTTCAGGGATTTTCAACAAGATATTTACAAGACTGTGAGAGAGACGGGTTGGGATGGCACTGAGATTGAAGAAGCCGTTGAGTGGACGTATGCGGGGGCGTTGCTTTACTCCGTCACTGTTATCACAACTATAGGTAAGTCTCTAAATGGGATCTAGACTCGGGATATTTCAAGTCCCACATTCAAAACTGCCAGCTCAATGTTGATGTAACATATCATTTTGACAGTTAATGATAACCACAATTACAAATAAAAACTGTTTCAGTTTCACGTTTAGCATTTATAACAACGTCTTCAATTGGCAGACAATTGGACTATGTTCTACGGTCCGCAATATCTACCTTGGGTCATAATAAATTAATTATTCGACTTTTATCTTTTTGCACAAACAATGCGAGAGGCATTTCTGCACAGTACCTTTTGTATATTTGTATATGTTATATAGTAAATATGTAACGCGACACATGTAGTTCTTCGTCTTTAGGTCAGTCTGGACACTTATCTGTTGGGGGGGGGGGGGGGGTGTGTGGTTGGGTCTAGGGCTAGCGGAGATGAAAATCTGAAAGTTTCAGTATGGTTTTATCTCGCCGTGTGAGCAGGGTAATCGGAAACGATATAACTCATTTCACTGAGTAAGAAGACAAAGAAAAACTGGGTTTTGAGAAGACTGCCAATAAGCCCAAGTCTAGATCCGATTTAATTAGAATACAAACGTGAGACATCTAGCGAGATACGACTAAGGAGTGAGTGAGTGAGTTAAAGCTTTACGTCACATCGGCAATATTTCAGCCATATCGTGACGAGAACATTGAGAATACTGACATTAAAATAAAACACCTGTCATCGACGGACAGTAGAACAACTAGCATATCACAGTTTATAAGTAAAACTAGTTTAGAACAATTAAAAAAATAACCTATTATTTAACAATACAAAAAAAATGGGCTAGTGATCGCCAGCAACCAAAGTTAGGCCACCTAACTGGGGCCCGTGGGGACTTACACTACTTCTGCTACCTGCACGGCTCCCCAGCAGGATTTACACCATCCCTTCAGCTGCTGGCGATGGTACGCAATTAAGCCATAATTAAAACAAAACAAATATACTACGTTTAAAAACAGTGGTATGAATAAACGTACTTTCAGGACGTGGTCTTACATATCCTCTCAGGGGGACAATAATTTTACACTACTTCAACCCCCTTTGAGGATACAGCCACTAACCATCTAAGTTACTCAGTAAACACTACCAATATTATAAAAATCAACTATCTACACAATCAAAATTTATCAATAAGTTCTATTTCTTTTAAAAATCCAACAATTAAATGACAACTGATATTATTAAAAAGATCCTTTAGAGATGATGATTTGAAATAGTTATCCCTTGTGATGGCAAAATCAATACAGTCAAGCAGGACATGTTTGACCGTGATTCTCTCATCACAAGGGATGCAAAATGGAGGATCCTCACCTTTCAGTATATGTTCATGTGTATATCTGCTATGGCCAATGCGACATTGTCGCATTATGACCTCTTCAAATCTGGACTGACAACCCAAGTAGGTGTAACCGATGGTTGGCTTAATTTGATGTAATTTATTGATACCAACTTGGGTGTCCCACTTCTTTTGCATAAGATCTCTGATGTAACATCTGATCACAGGTTTACAATCACTGTATGGAATGAGAAGTGGTGTCACAGATTTGTTGAGTGCTGCTTTTGCTGCAGCTTCACCATTTTGTTGCCTTTTATGCTCACATGACTGGGCAACCAACAAAAGACTATGTCGTATTGGCCAGTTGAAAGATTATTTTAAAGTTCTAAAATATCTAAAATAATTGGATGATTAGAAGAGACTTTTTTCAGTGCCTGAAGACAAGACAAAGAATCAGAAAAGATGATAAATTGTGTATATGCAGACTGTCGTTGAATGTATTTTAAGGCTGTAAGAATAGCATTGGCCTCAGCAGTGAAAATAGAGCTAGTGTCTGGTATTCTAGATGAGATATGTTTTGATCCAACGACAGTGGCACATGCCACCTTGCCACCGTCCTTGGATCCATCAGTAAAGATTGAACGGTGGGTTTCATATTTATTTCTTAATTGTACATATTCCTGTTGATATATAAGTTGATTTGTGTCAGATTTAATAAAACGGGTTAGCGAAACGTCTACTTCTGGCCTCACCAGCTGCCAGGGAGGAGTAGACAAGAGACGATATGGTGAGATAATATCTAGATCTATTTTTGCAGCAATAATATGTGATTTCATCCGAATTCCAAGTGGTGGAATCAGCTTTGTTTTTTTCTGAAACAGCTATTCATATAGGGGTTGAAAAACGGAGTCATAAGCAGGGTTAGAAGGATTAGAGTGTAATTTAGTGATATATTGAAGAGACAATTTAACACGGCGTTGTTTCAAAGAGAGTTCATCAGCCTCGACATAGAGGCTGTCAACAGGAGAAGTTCTAAAAGCACCAAGGCACAGTCTGAGTCCTTGGTTGTGGATTGAATCTAGCTTTTTTAAATTACTCTTGCAAGCTCCAGCATATACAATGGAGCCATAATCTAATTTAGAGCGAATCAATGATCTATAAAGGTGAAGGAGGGTTGTCTGATCCCCTCCCCACTTAGAATTCGAGACGACTTTTAACAGATCTAGGGCCTTCAGGCATTTAGTCTTTAAATATTTGATATGTGGCAAAAACGTCAAATGGTGGTCGAAAATTAATCCCAAAAATTTGGCTTCTTTAACAACTTTAATTGGAGTGCCATCTAAAGAGAGTTATGGAGTCTTTATGGAGTTTATATTTCCGACAGAAATGTATACAATTTGTTTTGGTCTGTGAAAACTTAAATCCATTCTCAAGACACCATTTATGAATTTTATTAAGACACAACTGTAACTGTCTTTCAATGGTATGCATATTTTTACCACGACATGGAATATTAAAATCACCCACAAACAATGACCCATCTATTGAGTCATTTAATACTTTAGATACACTATTTATTTTGATGCTAAACAAAGTGACAGACAAAATACTGCCTTGTGGAACCCCCTGATCCTGATTATAATGACCAGACAGGGTTGATCCAACACGAACTTGAAATTGTCTGTCAGTTAAAAACTGTGATACAAATTGAGGCAAGCGGCCTCTTAAACCAAAGTCTTGTAAATCTTTTAAAATACCATGCTTCCAAGTGGTATCATAAGCTTTTTCAAGATCGAAAAAGATAGATACAGCATGCTGTTTATTTACAAAAGCATTTTTAATAAATGATTCTAAACGAATCAAATGGTCAATTGTACTTCGGTTTTTACGGAAACCGCATTGGATGTTACTAATCAGATTATTGGTTTCTAAAAACCAAACTAATCGATTATTTACCATGCGCTCCATGGTTTTACAAACACAGGTAGTTAATGAAATTGGTCGATAATATGATGGGTCTGTATGATCCCTGCCAGGTTTTGGTATGGGTACAACTATAGCATTTCTCCATGAAGGAGGAAAATCACCTGTTGTCCAAATATCATCAAAAATATTCAGTAGTGTTGTGAGACAAGATTCAGGCAAATGTTTTAAGAGCTGATAATGAATATCATCAGCACCAGTTGCAGTATCTCTTGTTGTTGTTTATATTTCTGAAACTTTGGATTATAATTTGACGAAGAAGAATGTTTAGCTAAAGTTTCGCCCAATTTATTTGCAATATCTGATTTTTCAGTCAATAAATTATTGTCATCTTTTAGATGACGAATACTAGTTTTGGAACCTTTGCCTTTGATTTTTTGGATCATGTTCCATTCCTTTGACATAGGCGTGCGTGAATTTATTTTAGAAACATAGTTCTTACAAGACTGAGGTTTATTGTGTTTAAATGTTCGTCGAGCCTTGGCAGAATTGTTTTTCAAATTGTTTAAATTATGTACAGTAGGATGGCGTCGAAAATATTTCTCTGCCTTCTTCCTACGCTTCCTAGCTTGTTTGCATTCGTCAGTAAACCATGGTTTCCGAATATGTGGGTTCACAGAGGACTTAGGAATAGTTTCATCAGCTATGTTCTTCAGTTTGTCAGAGAACGATTGAATTGGATCAGGAACATCCATGAAAAGGTTTGGCTTCAATTTGTCAGTACATATGGTCTGAAATAATGGCCAATTGGCCTTGGAAAAATTCCATCGTGTTGACGGTGGAGCATCAGTGGGATTTACAGTTGTAATTACAGTCGGAAAATGATCACTTCCACAAAAGTCATCATGGACTGACCATTCAAATTCATTATATATGTTAGAATCTGTGATTGACAGATCTAATGCAGAATAGGTACCAGTTGCAGGATGTAAATATGTGTTCGAGCCGCCGTTGAATATGCATAGATTATTATAAGAAATAAAATCTTCAAGGATTTTCCCTTTATTGTTAGTGTTGGAACTTCCCCATAGAGGGTTATGTCCATTAAGATCACCCATGATGATACAGGGCCCAGGGAGCTGGTCAAATAAATCCTGAAGATCGGACTGCTGAAGATTCGAGGATGGAGAAATATATAATGAACAAAGTGTGAAGGTTATGTGTAAGGTAAGACGGACAGCAACAGCATGAAGATTGCAATGAAGAGGAACAGGGCTGTGGATAATGCCCTGCCTCACCAAAATTGAAGCACCCCGAGTGGCTTTATCACCTGGTGGGGAAAAAGAATTATATGAATTGTACTGACGCATTTCAAATTTATCAGTATTCTTAAGATAAGTTTCCTGCAAACTAAATGCTGATGGTTTATAATCTTGTGCTAATAATTGAACTTCATTAAAATTATTCCTAAGTCCTCTGCAATTCCACTGAATTAAGTTAGGAGATTGGGTCATCGAGGTTCTATTGGGGATCTTTCACGTGTACGTGAGGAAGATGGACTCCTATTCCTGTGTTCTGAAGATGGAGACATCTCCATCTCAAGAGGTTCAAAGGAGTTATGAACCTCCACAGTTACGGGTACCTCTACAGGAAATGAGATCTTGGACAATTGTTTACGATTAGGTTTACGATTTCGCTGTTTCTTTGGCATGTCAACATGTACATCAACATCAACCGCTTGTTGTGCGAGCTCGGGCTGCGACTGACAAACGG